GGTGCAATCGTATCGATTTGTTGTGTGCCACCATATATATTTTGAAACTTCAATAAGAACATAAGTTTTTATTGATTAGAGTTGATTTGCAAGACTTTTCTTCCACCACTAGATCCGAGTTTGAATTCCACTTGTGTCATTTTCTTTGTTTTTAGCTTTTAATTTCAGATTTATTATATATATTTCTGAAAGAGTTTGCAATAAAAGACTTGAACACAAGACCTCACATATAAAAAGTAATGAACCAACCAACAAAGCAATTATGATATTGTGCAAAATATTCGATATTTGTTTCTTGTAGTCAAACAGTGCCATCGTTTGAAATTTTTTTGGGTCCGTCCCTGTTCACAAAGCAACTTGAACTCACTTTTCTAAATTAAATTAAACCTAGTTTCCAAAATCCAAACTCTAACTTCCATTAATGAAGGCTTGAGATCCGTAAGTAAAGTTCCTCAAAGAACCTTCTCCAAACATAATTCATGCCTAAAGATGTACCGAAATCAACCACAATATTAGATACGCAACAAAATTCAATCTAGATCTCAAAATACCGAAAACTTACCACCTAAAAGAAATTGAAGGTTCCAAGCTAAAACCTACCATGAGACTCCTCCAATGACCTAACAACCGCCTTAAAATGCTCCCAAATTAAACTTCAAGCTAGAAAATCGTCCAAGGAGCAGAAAAAATAAAGTGTGGAGGAGAAATGAGAAAAATCCCAGAAAAATGGGCTTAAAAACGAGTTGGGTGTTTGGGGCCACTTAGGTCGCCCGATCGGCCGTTTGACCATCCCTGATCATTCCTCGACCGTTTTCGACCATTCCTTGACCATTTGTATCTAGTCGCTTGTGCAACCTTTCCCGTAGCTTGGGCCACTCGAGAAGTCGCCCGAACCCTCGGAGGGTCCCCATTCACTTGATCTCGATTCTCTTCAACCTAAAACATTGTAAGACCAAATATTCACAACCAGACATCATTTTTTTTTCCAAAATAAATATCAAAACCAATTGTTACATACCGAAAATATGTTTAATAAAAATATGGGTGTTACAATCAACTTACGAGAAGTATGAGAAATGTCAAATCACAAATGATTTACAACATGTCTAGAAGGGTCGTGTTGACCGACCATTACACATACGGGTTTTTTATACGACCTTGGTCACATTAACCAATCTCCCACCTCCTTCTGGACATGTAGTAATCACACGTGATTTATTATAAAACTAGTTGTGTACCCGCGCAATGCGGCGGGAGCCATGAATTTTAACGATTTTGAAGTTTAACTGGTTTTATAAGACAAGATTTAACGATGATATAGGTTACACTTGGTCTTTACATATTAATACAATTTGAATAAATAAGAGTTATGGTTCCAAT